TCTCCCCACTCAAAGTCATAGGTTTTCAATATGGTGATAAGAAGTACTCCTACGAAGATGTTGTCTTTCAACCTAACAACCAAAATATGCACCCCATCACACTGTTTTGTCTTTTCTACAATAATGTACGTTCACAATTATTTTTACATATAAAATTAATAAATTAAATTTGATATAATAATTCCTTAATAACCAACTTTCAACTCATTTAACCAGCGAGCTATAGGAGCAAATTGATTGAATTTTTATTTGCTCCGTTTATATTGAAGAAGTTAAAACTGAACATTTCATATTGACATATTGTATATGTAATATCACGAGTTCAATTCTGATCAATATCTTTTGAGAATTAGAGTTTACCCAATGTACACCATCGGGTTGTGATTGTGGGTTTCCCTTTAAAAAAAAAAAAACAAAACAAAATTTGGTAGTTTCAAAAAGTTGCAAAATATAAGCTATGATTTTCGTTGGTTAAAATGTAAACTTTGACAATTTTGATATCTAATTTTAATAATAAAAAAAATGCTTCATTGGATTAGCTAATCCTTGGATGGGATAATACACACATATATAGTCATTATGGGATATGATTAATAAAATAATACTTTTGGCACTATATATATATATTAATAGTGTCAAAAGTGAGAGTTGGTATAGCAATATATATATAAAGCTAGGTTATCTTTCTTATAAGGGAATTGTGCACCTAACAACCTAGGCTAGCTAGTAGATTAATGCTTTGTGCCAACTCCACTATTCATACAAATGTATGTAAAGTTGGATGCAACAAACTGATTTTGTGCTTAATTTAAAAAATAATGTAAGTTCGACTACTTAAGTTTTAGATAGTAATCAATGGTGATTAAAAAAGTTAAAAAAAAAATGTCTAAAATCTTTGTCAAACTTTTATATGAGTTGAAAAGTTGGTCAGAAATTGGTAATTCATCTGTGAATGATGTTTTGAGTTGGAAAAAAAAATAATTTTTTTGATCTTAAATAATATTAGAAAATTGTTTAATTTAATAGTGGAAACAATATAATTTTGAGTGAAAATCTTAGATCTTTCTTATTGAGAGGCATATAGGTTTTGTCGGATATCTCTCTCTCTCTCTCTCTATATATATATATATATATATATATATATATATATATATATATTCAAATGAGAACAACCTCCTCTTATGAAAAATGAAAATTAATTTTAGTCGTCCATTAGGTTTCATAAATGATTGAGGGGTTTAGTAAAAATACACAAACCAATTTTATAACTATTGTAAACTTTTAAGTTTGTAATATTTATAAAATTAACCCATCTTTTTTTCCGTTATTTCTCAGCAACCTTCAATCGTTGATCTATCCAAATAAATAATATTTCCCTTATTTCTTAGCTACCAAGTTTGTAATATTTATGAAATTAACGTAACCCTCATTTACCAGGACTATGTGGTCTAATGGTATCCGGGTTGGACTTCTATTTGGAAGATTATGAGTTCGAGCTTCAGTGGAGGCGTTATTGGTTTTTTGTGTTTCAGAAGGTTGAGAAAGTATATGAATAGATACTATAATGTAATAGAGCCAGTAGCTTTCAAAAAAAACGTAACCCTCATTTTTTAGTTTTATTTTTTAACACTTCTCAACTTTTTACATAGGAACATGTTCTTACTTGAAAACACACACACACACATATATATATATATATAATATTAAAAATTCTAGTCTTAAAATTCTTGGCCAATTAATTACACATACCAAGTCTATTTTTGTTTATTTGTAGATGGGATACAAAAGATTATTGATTAATTATATGAGACATTTAGCAAAGAATAATGTATATTATTTGTTTGGCAATGCATAAAACAGCTATGTAAGCACTGAATACTATAACCTAATTAAGGATCTAATCATATCATAGTACAACACCAATAGATTAATTGTCTTGCTTGTCATCTTATTCAAGTTTCATTTTGATGGCCATGCAGGCTTCCCATTTTCCCATCAGTCCACCATGATTATCTTAGCAACTTACATTGTTTATTCCTTAAAATATATTATCCACTATTTGCAATAATGTTTTTGACACTTGGCTTTACCCATTCATGTTTTTGACAGAATGGGAATTCTCTATCATATCCCCTATCATTGCATGCCTATATATATATATATTCCATGAAAATGAATTGTAGAATATTTGTTGAGAAAATGAGATCAAGAAATAAGGACAAAGATAGAAAACGAGAAAGAAAAATACAAGATTTATGTAGTAAATACTATAAATATTATATTTATATATGTGTAACCCTAATACATCATACATTTACAAAATCACACCTGAACTGTACTATGCACCACCAATTCATTTAGCGAAGCTAATTCAAGTGCAACCCCGAAAACCAGTGTTATTCCTCTGCGGCTATACTCTAATGCTTGTCATTTTCTAGTGACATATGAACCATACACATCAATGTTTTTTTTTTTTTTACTTTATTAATGAATGAAGATTCATCTTCACTTCTTACTGTACAAAAAGGTAGTCCAAAGCTTAAGCATCCAACAAAAGGGATCAGAGGGGGTTCACATGGTGGGGGTGAAGTTCTCCATTGCTAAGGGATATGATAGTAATTCATAGCTAGCGACTTCCATTATTTATCTTTTCTTGTCTTTTCCTATTCAGCTATTCATTACAAATTAAAGAATGACATATATATATGGTGGAGCTTTGTATACCATTAATATACAATGCATTATAACAATTAATTAATATATTAGTATATATAATATTAAAAATTCTAAGGTGTCAACAAATATATATATATATATATATATATATATATATATATATATATATATATATATATATATATATATATATATACCATCAAATTAAATTTACCATCTTTTACTTGAATTAAAGTATTATAAATGATTAACAAACATAATATTATGTGAATAGTTAATCTTTTTTCATATGTTATATTTTAAACATCATATAAGGGTTTAAGTTGTTTAAGCATGATTTCAAATTCATGTGTACATGCATAGTAAGCATGATTTCAAATTCATGTGTAATTGTGTATACAATAATAACGCTTTTAAAAAGAGTGATTTAGAATGAGATTCAATTGAAACTCAATAGAATTAATCGTATTTGAATAACAATTCAAAGCACTATATGCAAAAAAATATATAAATTCAATAGAATTAGTCGTATGTGATCAAATAACAATAACAATTCAATGCAAAAAATTGATGTTTTTTTTATGACGATGAAAACTCTCAATTAATACTTGATGGTGTATATTGAATAAACATTGTCTTATGACTATAGTTGACAAAAATCACAATAAATTAAACCAGTCTGGTTATTATGTCAAAAGTCTGACTAATATAACTTACTTGGTGAGAGTTGCGGCATGATATTTAATCAACATACATGGAGAAGTAGAAGCAAGAAAGCTAAGTACTAACATTCGGACAGATCATGTGGGAGCTAAATGGGCATCTGCATCTTTAATTTCAACCCAAGGAAAAAGGTTAAACACAATGCATGTTCTTCATCATCTCTTTCCCTTGTATTTAATTTACTAATTATAGAAGCCTATCTGCGATGCACAAAATTCAGTAATTATTGTACAATATAATTACAATAATTATATATGCAATTAGTAAGCGAAATTTTAGTATATATTCTTTAGTATAAATTTATACATGTATAATATAATTCTTGTAATCTTGTGAGATACTCGAATACTGTAATATTATATGTGAAAATAATGATTTTTAATCCATACATAAATAAGAATTTCTTACAACGTATATAAGATGATAAGACCACTCTTATGTGTTTGCACCACACCAAAGTTGTTAGAATGGAACTTACATGTATCATAACAAAACATTATTTCTAAGAGAAACATCAATAGCTAAAACTCAAAATAGATTTTTTTGTGAAATTCACGCCATGAAAAAAAAAACTAAAAGAAAAACATTTTTAGTGTGGCGGTCAGTTACGTTGGTAGCCACTTTGACGCGCCCAACAGGCACTTGTAGTGCACACACATGTGTGTGCGCTAGTCTTTTTTTTTTTTTTTTTTTGAGATTTTTGTAGTTTTTTTTAATTTGTATAGGTGGAGGAGAGGGGAGAGAGGAAAAAAAAAATACTACAAGTAATGGTTTTTTTATAAGACCCACTATCCCACAAAAAATTGTCTATTTCACCTCATGTGCGGGTGACGCTCAGCTGGGCGAGTTAGAGGACTTTTTTTTTTTTTTTTTTTTTTTTTCTTTGCTCTCTCTTATTTTATCTTTCCTTGTCATCTCTTCAAAAATCTATTAAAATACTCGATTCATGTTGTTGGTCTTAAACCAATTTTTTTTCTCTCTCATTCATTCAACTCATCCTTAAAAAAATAAAAAAAAAAAACCCCCTCAAAAATTCACGATTGGAGATGCCCTAATTGAAAAATGTCATCACAAAAATGAGTATGTAAAAGCTCACAAAATTGAGTTATTTTACAAAAATAATGTTTTTTTACAAAGTACAACGTATTTGATTAAATTTAATTTCAAGAGAAAATTATGAAAATTTAACTCGTTATGATTGTCGTAAACTTATATTATAGTAAATTGCTAATGTAAATATAAAATAGAAAGATTTATTTTTGTAAGAGGGTGTTATATAGAAGAGTTTTAGACTAACTTTTTCATAATGTAAAAATTAAAATTTGATAATTCAAATTAGTTTAACCGTGTTGAGAATATCTGGCAAGAGATAATAGTAATATGTATTGTAATGTCGGATTCAATTCCTTGTCACAAACCTTATCACGAGGACGATACATTAATTAATGTTTATGTTTTTGGTTGGGTTCATGAGCCGTCGATTCACTCGCAAGATCTATGATTCTGATTTGCCCCAGCCTGGGTCCCACTAGGACTCGGGGGAATAGGACAAAAATGAAAAGAAAAGAAAAGAAAATGAAAACTTGAATTGATTTTGGTATATATTTCCGGCACCACCAAAATCTTCAACTTCCACTGCTCCCTAAAGTCAAGAGTTTTGTTCAATCAGTTCTCAACCGAGAGGGCCGCCATTTTTACGCTTCAAACCTCACAGAACCGTGTCGGAGGTAGATCGAGAAGGGCCGGGTGGTAATTTCACATGCGCACCGGCATGTGCAGAGTTTTTTCTTTCTCTTCATGATAAGGTTATCGGGGGTTCTTGGTTTGTTGTCTCCGACAGCTTTCACTGACCGCCGGCGCCGGAATCCTGGCACCCACTTCTCCGGAAAATGTGTGTTTGGTGAAGCCCGACATGTACCCGGAAGCGCAGCAAGGCCGAGAGTCCCCCGCCGGAAAACCAAGAATCCGGCGAGCGCTTGACCTCATCTCTACGCTCATTTCCGCCTCCCATTCTATCAGGGCCTTCGCGGTGAAATGGCAATTGATACGTAACAAGCTCGAGGAGCTCCTGTCCAGCCTCTCCGCCGTCGAGAACTGCGACGATTCCAGCGAAAATTCGCAACTTTTCGGCGCCGTGAAGGCCATTTCCGTCACTCTGGAGAGCTGCCTCGACCTCGCTAGCCGCTGCGCGGATTTATCCTACGGCGGGAAGCTCCGCACGCAGAGTGATCTTGACATAGTATCCGCAAAACTTGACGGGCATATAAAGAATTTGGCGGAGATTTACGCCCGTGGCTTGCTTTCTCAGGGCTACGCCATTGTGGTTTCAAAACCCGGCCTTTCGGCGTCGCGCGACGATATGAAATTCTACATCAGCGATTTGCTGTCCAGGCTGAAAATCGGCTGCAAGGACATGAAGAAACAAGCCCTTCTTGCCTTCAATGAAGCGATTCAAGAAGACGATAGGTATGTGAAAGTAGCTATCGAGATTGATAACTTTGTGGGCGTGTTAGTGAATTTTCTTGATTTTCATGAAGATGATACTATCCAAGAAGAAGCTTCCAAGGCAGTGTCAGTAATTGCAGGCTTTCAAGCTTATAAGGGGGTGTTGATCAAAGCTGGGATAATTGGCCCACTGATTAGAACTTTGGAGAGTGGGAGTGATTTGAGTAAAGAGTATGCAACAAGGTGTTTGCAAAAGGTCACAGAGAATTCTGATAATGCCTGGTCTGTTTCAGCTCAAGGTGGAGTCACTGTCTTGTTGAAAATGTGCTCCAATGGTGACTGTAGGGGTGAATTGGTTGCCTTGGCTTGTGGGGTGTTGAGAAATCTTGTTGGGGTTGAGGAGATCAAGAGGTTCATGGTTGAGGAAGGCGCGATCCCAGAGTTCATCAAGCTTGTGAGGTTGAAAGATGAGGTTACACAGATATGTGGCATTGAGTTTCTGCAATGTGTGGCTTCTGGGGATGAATCCACCAGGCAAATGATCATTAGAGAAGGAGGGGTTGGGGCATTAGTGAATGTATTGGACCCCAAATCGTTATTTTCGTCTAAAACCAGAGAAGTAGCCTTGAGGGGGATCATGAATCTGTGCTCCTCCTCAGCTAGTTTTGTTACCATTTTATTGAGTTATGGGTTCATGGATCACATTCTGTACTTCCTCAGATACGGGGAAGGCTCGATTCAAGAACTGGCACTAAAGGCCGCCTTTTGGATGTGTGGGACTTCAGAGGAGTCCAAGAAAGCAATGGGGGATGCAGGGGTGATGCCAGAGCTTGTGGGGTTTCTTGATTCCGAATCTTATGAAGTTCGCGAAATGGCAGCCGAGACATTGTCTAGTCTGGTGGTTGTGGCTGGGAACCGAAAGAGATTCGTGCAGAACGATCAAAACGTTGTATTGCTTCTGCAGATGCTTGATCCTGAAGAGGCAAGGTTTGGGAACAAGAAGCTCTTGCTTTCCATTCTCTTGTCCTTAACCAGCTGCAACACTGCAAGGAAAAAAATTGTAAATTCTGGCTACTTAAACCACATTGAGAAGCTTGCAGAGGCAGATGTTTCAGATGCCAAAAAGATTGTCAGGAAATTATCCACCAGCAGATTCAAAAACATCCTTAGTGGAATCTGGCATTCTTGATTCCCTTTCTTTTTTTTTTCTTTTTGGTTTTCCCCTTTAGTTTCCCAATATTTAAGTTCCTGTTTTGTACATTCCCTTAAGTGCCTTTTTCTGAGTTAGTTAAACTTTCATAATCATTTTCCTATGATTGTTCTTCACTGTGCTCAAAAGGGCTTTTAGGGCCTCTTTTTGTTCATCTTGTAGCCATATCCATTTTCTACTAAAAGATCTCAACCAACCTCTGTATATATAGAATTCCCATCCCACAGTAAAATTCAGTTAGCTGGGAATGCAAAGCAAGTATGAGTTGGATAAAATTTGTCTGGTTTTGGGGTGGGGAGAGAGACAAAGCAGCACATGGGAAAGCTAGGCATGAGGTTTAGATGGGCATGTGATATGTGGCAATCAATGTCTGTCCACCCTCCTCCTTGCATCCATAGAATAGTGTGATGGATGATGATGATGATGATGCCACCTTTTTAATTTCGTGCAATCACTACTCGAGAGTGTGTATTGGATAAATTTTGTTTTGTGACCTTAATCACCCATAACTGATCGGCTCAAACCTAGAACACCAATCAATAGTTGCCCTAATTGGGAGTCGAACTTGTAATTTTGTGGTTACCAAGTCAACAGTTTGACTAACTTGGCTCGGTTGTCCCAATCTTTTATATTTGTTGTCTCATGTATGGTAGTAGCTAGGATAAAGTTATAATACAAGAAACAATAATGTCATAGCAAAAGCAATATTATAAAGTGATGAAATTGGATAAATGATGTGCATCTTCATTTACCTTAACATATAACTCAACTGATCAACTAAAATAGTTAATAGTTTTACTTCGCTGGTTGTCATAGCCGGGTTGTCTCCTCCACCGAGGCTCCAGAGAAGGACAAATTGGGATTGTTGGCATCGGAGTGCAATCCTTTTTTTTTTTTTTATCTTTTTCTTTTTTAAGAAAAAGCTTCATTTTACATATTTATTTATTAGTTTTTATTGTATGGGTTGAAGGGAGAGGAGAAGATGAGAAAGTGAAAGTTGTCTTACATTGAAGAACTATTTGAGTAAGTTGACAAAATGGTCTGGGCATTGGACCACAAGGGTCCAGCAGGTTGCTGCTCAACACTTCACAGTCCCTACGCAAAAATCCATTCATAGCTGTTTTTGGATTTTGTATGGCAACTTCTTTTAATGCATTCCCACTTTTTTTTTTAATATTTTTTTTTATATTAATAAATGAAATGGGCTAATCCAATACCAAGCAAACATTAGGCAATCGTTATGCGTTGGACCCGTGTCCAGCATGCTTGCTGGACACAGGTAACAGTGCCGTTAGGCACTGTTATCTCTTTTTTTTTTTTTTTTTTTTTTTTTAATTTCAGACCGTTTCATTATAGAAGTATATGTTCATAATTTTATTACTATATGTTAATAACTGTACATTCATAACTCCATAACTGTACGTTAATAACTCTATAACTGTACATTCATAACTCCATAACTGTACATTCATAATTTTCGAAGCTCTATGTTCACAATTTTAGAGCTCTATGTTCATAATTTTATCACTATATGTTCATAATTGTAAGTTCATAATGTTAGAGCTCTTTGTTCATAATTCGATCAATAACTGTACATTCATAATTCCATAACTGTAGATTCATAATCTCATAACTGTAGATTCATAACTCCATAACTGTAGATTCATAACTCTATAACTGTACATTCATAACTCCATAACTGTACATTCATAATCTTCGAAGCTCTATATTCACAATTTTAAAGCTCCATAGTCATAATTTTATCACTATATATGTTCATAATTGTAAGTTCATAATGTTAGAGCTCTGTGTTCATAATTTCATAATTGCATAACTGTACATTCATAACGGCATAACTGTACATTCATAACGGCATAACTGTACATTCATAATCCAAAAAAAAAAAAATAACGCCGTTAACGGCAAAACGCGCGCAATTTTTTTTTTTTAAACAAAATGACGTGTTTTTTTTAAAAAACGACGTCGTTTTGGGCCCGTGTCCACAATTCATTATGGACACGGGTCCAGGGCATAATTTGCCAACATTAGGAGCTCAAAACAGGAATTTGGGCTTTTGAACCCAAGCCCAATCTACAAACCCCATTCTTGGCCCAATATTCAAAGCCAACTTGGGCTGAATTCTGAAATCCCATGGCCTAATGGCCCACGCAAACATAAACAAATGTTTTTTTTTTTTTTTTTTTTCTTGGGTAGGGGTAAACAAATGTTCTTGTTTGAGTACTCATGCATCTACTAAGGAATATCTCAAAAAACTTACAGGATATGTTATTGGTACCTGCATGGTCGCTGTCATGGGTGATCTTATTTTTGGTTATGATATCAGAATTTCAGATATATATAATTACAAATTTTTTCTACATATATATGTATAGAGTTTAATGGTTATCTTGAGTTACATTTTATTTATAATAATATATTAATATTACCACTGCTCTTTCAGACTAGGAACCCCGAACCCGCACGTGAAAATAATAGATAAAACCACCAAAAATAAAATTAAAAAAAAATGGTTTCCTCGTTTACAAGCAAAAAAATTAGACTTATTTGTCACCATAAAGGAAGTACAGGCCCCAGCTCGTAATGTCAATCATGATTCCATTTTTCCAACAACTAACTGGCATCAACGTCATCATGTTCTACGATCCCGTCTTGTTCAAAACCGTCAGGTTTGGAAGCAATGCTTCTCTTGTATCTTCTGTGATTACCCGCCTTGTTAACGTTCTTGCCACTTTGGTTTCGGTTGCATTTGTTGATAGAGCTGGGAAAAGGTTCTTCTTCGTTGAAGGCGGCATTCAAATGCTTATTTGTCAGGTAACGTAATTCATTCTACACTCCATCGATCTCAACCTTCTTTAAATAATATCATCAATATAATCTTTTATATTATTCATTCATGTTTACTAATTAATAAGATTAATGTTCTTTAATTTAAACAATCTGCTGCAGATTATTGTTACTATACAGTCTGTATTAGCAAACATTTTCTATACTGTTGTAATCTTAGGAAAATTTTAAATTTTAAACATTTTCTGGTTGCCAATTCCAGTCAAGATTATATATATATATATATATAATTTTTTTACATCCTGCGAATAAAAATCTTGGCATGCGCGTCGTCGTTAAGGATACTGAGAACTTGCGACGGAGCACGGTGCCACACTTGGGGAGATCGGAGACGGTGGCCGATCTGCGCAAATTTATCCGCCGCCCTGTTCCCTTCCCTAAACACATGCCCCACCACGCATTTCTCCAGTTCCGGGATGATGACATTAATCCGATCAAGGTGCCGCTGGGACTCCTCGCACCGGACGCTCTTTTTCCGGCGGACGACGTCGACCAGAGACCTGGAATCCCCTTCCAGCCAGAGACGAGTCCACCCGTTCTCCGCCGCGAGCTCCAGCCCTCGCCGGAGAGCCGCCAGCTCCGCAACCGTGCTGTTCGATTTCCCGATGGATTCCGCGTATCCCAGCAGGAATTCCGCCTCGTGGTCCCGGAAAACCCCGCCGATGCTCGATTCTCCGGTCTTGCATTTGCATGACCCGTCGAAGTTAAGCTTCGTCCACCCCTCCTCCGGCTTCTCCCATGCAACCTTAACTTCACGTTTCTTGTGCCAATTCCTTACCAGAATTTGAACGGCGCCGCCGCCGATCACCCTCCGATTATTACACCCTAATCTCTCATACACCACCTGCAACATTTTCATGGTACAGATAAAATAAACAAGTAAATTAAATTAACAACATAAGCTAATTAACTACGATGAACACGTTTCCATGCATGCATGTTGCATGAAAAATTATGGGGTACGAAGAAGAGAGAAATAGACTCTTAATATATTTTAATTAGAAAAGAGTGAGTGGACTTGTTTCAACAAGTTATTGACCATTGCTCTTTACCAACCAAGATAAAGGGAAAAACCGTTTTTAACCGCTAATAGTAGCAGTTGAAGTTCCAAGAATTTAGGAATCATGTGCCATGATCATCAACTATTGAACGTGGTTTTCTTTTTGGTTCTGTATAATCTCAATCTTATGTTAACTTTGGTTCGTCAAGTGGTTAATATATACTGATGATTTAGAATTGCAAATTATAATTTTTTTGTATTGACTAACACCTTCCTTCCGTGCAATGTAAAAGTAGCATATTTGAGGGCATTGGAGAATGATCAAAACTGTCACTTTATGAAAAATTGAAGGGTTATAAATGGTCATGTTAATAATTTAAAGACTAAGAAATCATTATTTCATATAAATTTTAAATCATAGTAGAAAAAGGTGAATTCTACTAACCACAATTCCACAAGTCTGCAGAGATTATTCGAATGTGTGTTGTAGGTGAATCTATACTTACGACTTTAGTCGACAAAGGATTATAGGTGATCCTGTTCAAATCGAGAAGATCAATAAACAATTACTACAGAAGCTCAAACTTAAATCCTTAGTAATTACCAAACTACCTGTCCAATCAACGTGGTAAGTTTATATTTTTCCTATATTTTATGGATAGTTATGCTGTACATCCGTATGCACCATGCATGGTGCATACGGATGCAAAAACGGCGTCGTTTTATTAAAAACGCGTGTCTCCCCTTAAAAAAACGACGTCGTTTATATTTTTTTTTAAGGGGAGACGTCCGTGTTTAAAAAAACGACGTCGTTTTTGCATCCGTATGCACCATGCATGGTGCATACGGATGCACAGCATAATTTGCCATATTTTATTTAGAAAATAGGTGGTTTTGGGCCTATTCTCCAAATATTATTTGTTATTGTTGGGCTAAAAACAAATTGATAGCCCATACATTTTGGAACCTTCATTCTTATCTGGATTGGGCTGCCCAGCTTAAAAAATCATAGCATTTTCTCTTTAGTCTTCACAAAATCAGCCATGGATGAGGTCAGCTTAACCTCATGCACACGCAATACAAGGTGAAAGGAGAGGAGAAAAGCCATGCATGGGATAGCCGTGGGTCCTACATTTGGGGACAAAAAGGAATCAACACCATATCTTTATTCCTACGTATATTTGTTTTTTAAGATTCTAATAAGTTAAAGGACTTAAAGCTGCATTCCCTGTCTGCATGAGGAAAA